AATAAAATGATTACAAATAGGATAAAACTATCTGCTGGTAGCTTAGACTTATAAGTGCCAAGTCTATATCGACTCTTTCCTGGATCCCGCTCTATTTCTTGTGCTTGTGCTTGGCAAAAAAACATTATACCCTATGCGCAGGGTATTAAAATCGGAGCTCTGCTAAATGCATTCAACCGCAATAATCGCGAAAGCGAAAATCGCGCAAATCGAAAAGAAAAACATTAGCGCCTAATGCGACTTAACCACCACCATCACCAGGGAACCAGGGATCGGGGCTGGACAAGCTCGCCCGTGCCCCCGCCCCGGGCTAATCGAAGACTCTTGCTCTACATATATTCCCAGCCCGAAACGAGTGCGGGACAGGGACACCCAAAAGAGCGCAAAAAACGACTCGTATGTGTACCTTTTTTTTTTCCAATGATGATGTGTTAATTTCATTTGATTGACATCTGTCCAGGTCGGACTACTAAATTCGATCAGTGCCTTCCGCATTCCGGAGGATTCTTCCTTAAAAAAAAAGGAAACATAATGGAAATGCAGAAAGCAAGACAGGACACAGACCATCCCATCTCTTGACTTGTCATGTAAATCTCGGGACATTCTCTTTGTGGATAGGTACGGGTATGGGTCTGGGCTTGGGGAAGGGGATGTGGATGTTGTTCCTTGTTGCGGCTGGCCAAGCATGACGCGACAGTTTTCGGAGCGCTGTCATAAGATATAGTCCCGATTGAGCTGTCAGCGCATGACAAGTCACAAAATCAAAACTGGCCCAAAACACGGCAAACATACGAGGAGCGGGAGGCGGGATAACAACTTCAAGTAATTAAACTACTTCTTCAGCCCGAACTTGAAAAAGATCGCACCAATCCAAAGGATTCTGTCTGCAATTGTTGCCAACATTTAAGTGAGACAATGTCAAAACTTTACTGCATGACAGATGCAAACTTCTCAGATAAGTTTGGCAGTACAACAAGAAAAAAGAGCAGCAATAGCGGACGAGGGTTCCAGATAAGAGATTCGAGATCCCACCGAAGGGTTATCGATGTTGTAATTTAAGACATTGCATTTCATGACGTTTAAATTTCGCAAATTGTCAGAAATTATTGCATTCGATATGCAGCGAACAAAAACCCGAAGATCGCACACAGAAAGGTAAATTGTGCAATGAAGCCAACATTTTGCATGCCCTCAGCCTTTGATGGGCTTTGATGAGCTGTACCCCTGTACCCCTTGACTGTCGCGGGACAGGAGGAGGCAGGAGGGAGGAGGAAGGAGGAAGGCCTACTCTTCTAATCGCTCGGAAAATGCCCAGACATCCCTCGACACCCAGTCCGTCTTGGGTTGGCCCTTTGGCAGCCCTTAGCCCTTCTAGTGGTGTCGCCAGGAGTGTGTGAAAAATTGATAGACTTGTCATTCGGTCTGGGCTGGGCGGCGACCATCGACTCAGCGATGTCCTGGCGGGGTGGAAATCTGATGTGATGCCAGTCCGTTGTCCTCCTTCTCGTAAAGTTGCATAAATGTCAGACGACTGTCATGACAACCTCTTGTAAACGCCCCATAATCTTTATTATTAATGGTACAGCCTTCCTTCCATAATCGATGAACGAGTATTCCCCGTAACTTATGCGAAGCCATCGATTTGTGATCAATACTCTGAATGCAGGAAAGAGTTAGATTGAGTTGGGTATGGGCATCAACCTTTTTCCATACTTTATTGCTGTTTCTACTGACTGAATATTTTGCCAGATTTTTCTGCAGAAATACTCAGCTCTCATATCATTTCAAATTTTGAAAAAAAAAAACGTTAAGCTGTCTTGAGGTTTTCGATTACCAATAAACTGGTTTGGCTACCGTTTTGCTTGACTTTTCTTTATATTCCTTATATTATATTATCCTTATATTTCCTTATATTTCTGCCATCTTCAACCAAGTTTCATCCACTTCAACCTCTATCAACCGAACTCAATCGACATATTTGACAGCGGAAGCGCTTTTTAACCACTGTTCCTGCCGTGAGGCTGTCCGCTCGAGGCACTACCTATGGCCCATTTCCGCTTCTGCGGTGACATTAACGATGTGGTCGACGATGAAGATCACGATCAAGATCATACATATATACACTATAATAACTCGCCCCCTCTTGTAGAAGTTCTTGGGCAAGCGATGAAGTCGTCTTCCGCTTTTCCAGGCCAGCTCTTCTGCGCTGAGCCTCGCTCCAATAAGAATTTTGTTGAAAACGCCGCTAGGTGGCGCAGAATTGCTGCTGAAAATTAATTTCCTCATTATTTTTATAAAATTGTTGTGTGGGGTTACTTATACTCTTTAAATACAATTGAAAACGTTACACGAGCTCTGCTGAATTATGTGAATTTTTTAGATGGTTCCATAGAATTTTGGGAGTTTTTGGAAAACTCTTATTACACGTTTTTTCTTGCTTTTATCTCCTATAGGAAGCCAAAGGTTCCTGATAAGAATAATATATCCTGTTGGATAAAATAACTAAAATAAATATCGGAAAGGAAAAGTTTGTCTAATTTGAATAGATTTAGCTGTAGTCAATCTGGTTTACCCGGCCTTCTATCGACATCAATCTAGTTCAACCAAGTTCCACTTGTTTTCCCAACCAAAAAGTAGTACACTCCACCATCTAGTCCTTTTCGTTTGTGTTTGGAAATTATGTATGTTTATTGATGAATACTTTTACTTGCATTGTTTTTCACTTTCTTACTCTGTATCGTTTTATACATGCAATGGTATGGCCTGCTGGTGTTCATCTCTCCGATTTCGGCTATGGCAAACTGTGTACATCTACATAGATTCGTATTTAAAGGTATATGCATATATTTATATGTATATTTGCGTGTATATGTGTAGGTTCACGGTCATCTACTCAATGCACACAACAATCGAAGTGATGGCAAACGAAAATTCTTTTTATTATTTTATATGTAATCTTAACCATAGGTTTTCCTCTACATAAGTGTGTACATATGTACGTATGCATGTATGTGTCTATATATGCAAAAAAAATACATGTATATAATATATTATATTACGATCTGTCAACTGTGGGCTACGCATCTTATCAAGACATTCGACAGTGACAACAGAGATACAGTCAGTTGTATCAAATCCTTCCATCTAGCCATTTATGGTTAGAAACAATCGATCGAGTTTTGATGGTTTGTTTGCAAATTGCCAAATTTCTGCTAATTTGTGCACGAGATACACATGGGATATACATATCATAAGATTATGTCTATGTGCCTATGCATATCCCTTGTGATGTGCCTGTGAATGCACTCTTGATGCTGGAATTAAAATTTGTCTATACCACTTAACACCTAGGGGTGTGAGAGATCTTTTGAAACTGATTCTCTTTCTGAGTTTTTACATTTTTTGCTGTTGTCAATATTTAATTGGGGAACATGGAACGTGAGTGGGAGAAAGTTAATTTGTGATTTTCAGTTGTTTTAGATGTTCTCAACTGCGCTCCTCTAAGCCGCTCAAGGGCGTCAAATAATTTTGCTAATTTCGTAATTAATTAATCGATTGGTTTCGTTTGCCTCCTGCGATAGCTCGGCTGCTCTTAGACTCAAAAGATGTCAACAAAAAGAGACGCAAAATGTCAGTTCAAAAATATATATATGCATATGCATGTCCCTATGCATCCCTATGGATGGCCTATGCCTTCGATGTGCGCTTTTCATTTTTGGTTTTGGGGGAAGGGCTCCGCTTTCATAAATTTCAACTATGCAAAAATTAATGCGACAAAAATTTAATTTAGTTTACAATTTAAATTTGTGTGTTTCTTGTCTTTTTTCCTCATAATTTTCAAGGGTTTTCTTCGCGTTTTTCTTATTTTTTTTTGGTTTAGTTGGTTTCAGCAAATGTTGCGCATTTGTTTTGTGTTCAAACTTTGTCAAGGAAAAGGTTAGTGTGGATGTGGGAAGGTAAATGGGTGATCGATCAAGTGAGTGGTTGTATAAATATTTGCACTATGTTATATGTATGTATATATAAAAAAAATCGCATAGTTTTTGTGTGTCTTTGTACTTTGTTAGAAATTCACGCAGATATGCTGAGAAATAGTCCAACCGAGTCCGATAATCAATCCAAATCCAAATCCAAATCCAAATCCAAATCCTATCTGAACCAAAGTTTGTTGCCCGTACGGTGCCATGCCATTTCCCTCATTTCCATGTTTCGAATGATTCTCATCTTTTGTCTCACAGTTCCGCCATTTCCATTGTAAATTTCCTTCCATGCCAATATTTCTTCCGTTTCATTCCTATATTCTAGTTTTGTTACCGTACATATAACTTATATGGTACATACATATACTATGTATTTCCTAAGCCTAATTGCGATAGACTGATAGATACATACTAAACCTAGGCATATTCATATAATATGGATAGTTTGGGGGGATAGTGAAAACATTTAAAACAAGGGTGAAAACAGGTTCCTTATAAATTGCACATAATTGTTGACTTATTCATATAACTACCACCATAAAATATAGTACCTATTGTTTTGTTTTCGTTTTAATCATAAAAAGTTTCAATTTGGTCGATGCTCCTCCTGCTCCTGCTTCTGTTTTTGCTTCTGCACTTCCATTCTTCATTTTCTTTCTCTTTTTATACGTGTGTGTGTGTGTGTGTTTGAGGTGTGGTGGGGCTAGGAGGGGGGCTTGACATATAATTTACAATTCTCACTAGGGTTTCATACATATATCATGCTTTTGTTTTTTGTTTTTTTACTTGCAATTGGCACATAATTAATTACTAAAACGTTTCAATTAAATTATACTCGATTCATAAGAAAACAATTCTCATGTGTGTGTGTGTGTGTGTGTGTGTGTGTGTGTGTATTGCACATTATAACGGTAGAGCTCTGCGTACAGTTTCCACCAAAAGCAGCTCTATCTCAACTGAAGAAAACTGAAAGAAAAATCCATAAACGTAACGAAAATGAAATAAATAAAACAGAACAAATTAGTTAACTAAACCATTTACTAAACATTTATTGAAATCAAAAGTAGTTGTTCTTGTATTTGTTGTTGTTGTTGTTGTTGTTGTTGTTGCTGTAGTGTTGGGTGCACTCGGGTGGAGTGGGCCAAAAGGTACTCCAATCGAAAATCAAGAGTTCAACTTGCCTAAAAACTAATTGCATTACTCATCTGCATGTGAATCAGAATTAAATCGGGTAAGAGTACGAGTGTAAGTGTTGAACAACAAACAAAAAAAAATAGTCATGAATTAGGTTACGTATCCAATAATATGTGTATAGTATTTGTATATTCCAAACTGATTAACTGATAAATCCGCTGAAAACTGCAACTGAGAACAGTTTTTCAAAACTAAACTACGATATACTTGCAATCCAAAATAGTAATCATCATTATAGATAATAGATTAAAGATTACAGATTATACATAAAGCATTAGGGTTGTGTGCTCTCAAAGGTAAAATTAATAGAATCGAAGAAACATAGGTAGTTCTTACTAACTAATTCAATAGTAATAGCTTGTAGTGTGTGGTGTGGATTTTTGAATGGATTGATTGTATTGGATTGGTGGCTGAACAATTCATTATCCACCATTATCCATCCTTCCATTCGCTCACCCGTTTTAAACACAAATGTTCGTGATCTTTGTGATCCAGAAACAAACAAAAAAAAAGTTATATATAAAGATAAGGCGGAAAAAATAAACGATTTTCTATTAAGGCAAATCAGGTTAAAGCGATCGATCCTCGTTCTCTCGTGTTTAAGTTTTAACATAATATTGAATATAAAGCTGCCAAAGCCATGTGTGTGTGTGTGTGTGGTGTGTGTGTGTGTGTGTGTCCTTAAAGTGTTCTTAAAGTAAATTCTAATTTCTGGTTCTTCTATAATTTATCAAATGATTTCTGCACTTCACTTTTGAATTTCTTTTCCTTCGGTTACTCATAATTGCTATTTTATGGATTTATATGCATGTAATATTACGTGTGTGTTCCTTTATTTTTTTTTTTATTACATTTTTATGGGGTTCAGATTTTAACAATTTGAATTTTCCCTCTCTCTCTCTCTCTCTCTTTCTCTCTCTTTACTAGAGTAGAGTGTTACTCGAAATATTTTCCCTCAGATAGAACAAACAAATTTAACTAAATTCCATTTACAAATATTATTTTGCATACGATCTCCTGGCTTCTTCTTGGTGAGCCCTGTGGAGTCGTGGCATTCTACATTATTCTCATCTTGTGGTTGTGTTTTTTCATCGGGTTTTTGTGTGTGTTCTCAATTAGAATTCTTACAATTAATTTAACAGCTCCAATCCTCTCTCTCTCTCTCCACCGTCCCGGATGGGCTGATTGGAGGACTCCGCATGGAAGAGCAAAACGAGTGGATGGTGGACTGCTCGTCATAGCATCCACAAGGATGAGGATCGGTTGGGGTTACAAACTACATTTTTAGATGATTACACTCTTAAGTAAGTTTTTCTTTCCCTTCTATCCTTCTATTCTGTTACTTTTCTATTTCTTCTTTCCGTTTCCGTTTCTTTTTAACTTATTTCCCTTCGTGTTGGTGTTGTTGTGGATTGTGTGTTTGTTGCTTGCTGGAACAGATTTCAAGCATAAACTAGTAAATGCTAAACAAATAGGACAAGGTTGAGGTTGAGGGGTTTGCTTAGGCAGCCGTGTCCACCTCCTCCACAATGTGATTGGGCGGCACCTCGCTGCTGGCCCCCGATGCTGCTGTGGCTGTGGCGGTGGTCGTTGTTGTTGCTGCTGTGGCTGTTCCGCCAACCCCTGCTGCTGTGGCTGCTGCAGTTCCTCCTGCTGTTCCGACAGTTCCCTGGGCAGCAGTGGCCACCAGGGCGCTCACTGCACTGTACTGGGCGCCAGCGCCCACAGAGGCAGCCTCAGCGCCTGCACTGGACCCCGCAGCCGCATTGCTGACATTGACCGCGTAGGGTCCGCTCTTGAGTTTGCGAGCCTCGCGCTTCTGCTTGTGCTGCTGCATGACCAGGCGCAGCTGATCCATTTTCGACTTGGTCTTGAGGTTGTCCATCTCCTGTGTGCACTTCTGGCACGTGAACTCCTTCTCGCGTTCGCGCTCTTCCCCACCGGCACCGGCCACAAGGCGATAGCGACAGCTGCAACCATTTCCATTGCTGTGAATGGATGTGGCTGCTGAACTGCCGCTGCCATTGCTGCCTTCCAGGAGGCAGCAACTGTGCACGGACTTGGATGATGTGGAGGCTGAGGATAGTACTGCGGCCGCTGCTGCCGCTGCGGATGCCTTCGATGCGGAGTAGCCGCCAGTCAAGGCTGTCGACACGGCTGTGTATTGGTGGGCGCGACTGCACTTGACGCAGTTGTGATGCTTCGATGAGTACTGCACGAGAGAATTTGATTAGTTTTCAGGGTCTCAATGGAAAGGAGCTGCTCGTCACTTACAATTTTACCGCGGGATCCATGGTGCAGTCCACTGACTGCAGCTCCTGCTGCTGCAGCAGAGGAGGAGGTGGATGCTGACGAGGAGCCTGACCCACTCGAGGAGGAGCCGCTGGGTGCCTCGAAGCTGATGCGCGCCCCGCGGCTGTACTGGGGCGTGGCACTCAGCAGATCGTTGAGAATGTGAATCACCGTCGAGATGTCGCGCTTGGGGCGACCGTAGCGGTCCTGCAATGCGGGGTTCAGGGTGCCCGAGAAGGTGCCAGAGTAGATTCCCTTCCCATGGTTCTTCATCGACTCAATGACGGCCCCGGAGCCGCCCTTCCTTGGTGTCTCATCGCCTGCACCCGCAGAAGAGCCGCCGACCACGTGGCTGCCACCACTGCCACCGGACCCCGAGGAGCCGCCGCCGCTGCTGCTGCTGGAGCTGCTCACACTGGCCCCGGACAGATCGATCTTGTTGGTGAACACCTCCTTGGAGAGCTTGCGCAGCGTCTGTGTGAGATTGCGCGATGCCTCGGCCAGTGTCCGAGTGTCGGACACACCCAGTGATGCCTCATCCGGGTCTGAGGAGGCTGAAATGGTGGCTTGAGGGGCTGTTGCTGTGGGAGCAGCTGTGGGTGCTGCTGCACCAGTTTGCTCCTGCTTGCGGCGCAAGGCAGATCCCGATCCCGATCCCGATCCTGAGGCGGAAAAGGCGGCTGCATTAACGCACGCCTGCTGGTAGAACTGATTCTGGCTGCTGTGGTTATGGAAGTGGCGGTGCTTGGAGCGCGCAATGCGGTTGTTGCCGGTTTTGTGCATCATCGAGTTACCGGAGAAGGTGACTCCGAGGCTGCTGCTGTTGCTGCTGCCAGCGCTAGTGCTGCTACTGCTGCTACCGCTGGCCGAGGAGCGGGACGCTGCAAAGCCAATGCAACTGTCGGGGCACTTGTTGGACCTCGGTAACATTGGGGCAGTGGCGGAGGCACAAGCAGATGGAGGGGCAGCCGCCGCGGATGATGCCCCTGTCGTCTGGCCAACTGGCGATGTGGCCAGACGCGTGCAGAGGCACGACGTCAGCTTGGCGGCTATTGGATCCTGTTGACAGCCATTGCTGCTGCACACTCCGCCACCCGATGAAGCGGAGGCGCTGCTGGATGTAGAGGCAGGCGGCGTGGCCGTGGGCGGGGTGGAGCTGCAGCTGCAAGTCGAACCCGAGCTCGAGCCCGAGCCCGAGCCCGAGGGAATGTTCTTGATGGCTGTCATCTTGATGGGGCTCGAGACGAGATTCGAGAGCGATTTGATGGGCGACTGTTCCAGCAGGTTCTTGCCGGTGGCGGGACCGACAGACGATCCAGATGATCCGTTGACCGTCGTGCGCCTTGTCTCCTTGAGGGCAAAGCTCTTGACAATATTCGGGATGCCGCCCTTGATCAGCAGTTTGGTCAGATCGGGTGAATTGATGAGGCTTTGACTCTGGCCCTGTCCTTGGCTCTCCTGCCTTCCTCCAGGTCCGGCCCGGTGGCTCCCAACGGCAGTGGCAGCACTCGATCCTACCCCTCCCGAGCTGGAGCTGGAGCTAGAGCTGGTGCTGGGACTGGGGCTGGTACTGGGAAGTTCCACGAACATCTTGCGAAGCGAGGACATGCCCCCGCCGGTGCCGGCGGCCACCGCCGAGGCGTTGTGATGATGGTGATGATGATGGTGGTGGTGATGATGATGGTGATGCCCATGCCCATGGCCATGCCCATGTCCGTGCCAGGAGCCATGATGCAGGCTCGGATGCTGATGGCTGTGCACGTGCCCATGGCCGATCTTTCCAAGGCGCTGGCCTGAGGGGCGAGCACGGGTGTGCGATGATGATGAGCTACCGTTGGAGGAGCCACCGCCACCCACCAGCACTGCTTGTGATCCGGCGGTGGAAGAGGAGCCGCCACCGCCCTTCGATAGAGATGTAGAAGCGGCGGCTGCCGAAGTCGCATTGCAACTGGAACTGGAGCTGGTGGACGAGGAGGTGGCACCAGCAGCGGCAGCAGCTGAGACGGAACCACCGCCAGATGCGGATACCACAGTGGCGGCACTCGGATTAACTGTGCTCAGCTGGAGTTGGATTAGCATCATGTGGTCGCCCAGGCGCATGCTCAGATTGAGCGGCGTCTTGCCGCTGAGGAAGTCATTGACCTGCGAGTCGTTGAGTGATTCCAGGGCCTGCATCACTGTGTTCTCCGGACGCTGGGCCTGCAAGAGAAGAGCGAAGGAAAGGTAAGATTAGATTTGTGGATTATATTCGTTTTTGAATGCAACTGCTTGGACTGCTTATAGGACTGAACTGCTTTTTCAAGCACGACTTGCGTGCACCATTCTTGGACTGCAGGATTGGACTGCTTGCTTAACTGCTTGTTAGCTTATGTTCCGCTCTACTGCTTGCCTCGCTATGCTCCCTGTGTGGTTATCTAACGAGAATTCGGTACGCGTTGCAGCATTCCATTTAATGAATTCATTCATATAGCACTGACAAATGTACATATGGAATGTGTGTAGTTGTTCCTCCCCTTCCCTGCCACACCACAACATTCCAGAAAACAGAACCAAACCCCCCATTTTCAGCACCAATAATATTTGCTTTTGTTGTTGTTGCTGTTTCTGTGGTACGTGATTCAATGCACTGCCTTTGTTGCCTTTCTCTACGTAAAATCAAAATCAAGCAACAGTAACTACAGTGAAATCCCTATGGACGGACATTCCAGAGATTCGATGTTCTTTCTCTGATGCTTCTCTCGTAGAGATCCCTGATGCTCTTTAATCTTCGTTTATCCTTGATCCAGGAGAGATTTCATTGCGCCTCCTCCTCCTCTGTCCACAAATAACGCAGTTAACAAAAGGGCATTCAAGTGCGACTCAGGGGTCTGACGCTGGGGTCTGCGGTTAATTAATCATTTCCATTCCATATATACAGATGCAGATTCATGCATAAATATATGTCTACATATATCTGCCACATGCACTCTCAAGTGCGAGAGAGAGAGAGAGCCCCGCTTGGGGGTCATTTTTTATTGACTCTGGGGCTCTGGGTCTCTGCCTCTGTGACACAGTGACCCAATAATATTCAAATGAAGACAAAAAGCACAAGACGAAACTCAACTGAAACTCTGTTCAGATGGAAAACGACTACGACAACAACAACAATGACGATGTACATATGTAAGTATGTATCCACTTTCCCTTTGCCGCATTTAACGCAGCAGCAGACCTTATGCAACCCCACCAAAAAGTTTACACCAAAAGTGCGGCCTAGCAACCAACCAACAAACCCAAACAACTAACAAAAATAGCACCTCTTCGGAGAGATCGAAGCTTTAGATACTCTCCACTCTTTGGCAGATGGGATCAACATCAATCTCGTGCACATCATTCGATCGAGGCTGCTATTCTGATACAATGATCAAATTTTTATTCAAATCTAAGAGTAGATGTACGGACAGAAGGAGGAAACCCTAAGAGCCTAGATCCCAGGTTTTGTTTTCTTTCTTCAAGCCTCCACCCATGATCTCTCTGCTCTGAAGATAGGGTATCCCCAAAGGCCCAAAATGCGGCTATGATGTTCAGGCCTATTTGGTGACGTTGCCGCTGCTCGACTGTGACTGTGACTGTGACTGTATCCATGGCTGCCGCTGCTGGCTAACTGTACCAAGGTCAACTGACGTCGTCGCACGCAACTTACGTCACCTCCCCCCCAGCGTCGGCGTCAACGCCAACGACAACAGCAGCAGCAAAATCGAAAATTTCAAATTTTAAAACAACAACAACAAAGCAAAACAAAGGCAGGCGGCACCACGGCAATGCTGTAATTTATTAACTTTGTGCAAATTAAGTGGACTTTTTTTTTGGTTTTTGATTTTTGGATCTGATTTTGCTGGTTTGGATGTTTGGATCTGTGTTTAAACTGGTTTTCGAGAGGGGGTCCCCATTAGTTGTGTTCCTAAAATAGGGTAACCTATCATCGTTATTAACTCTGTCTTTGGGTTTATCGCTTCAGTCATTGTTTCCGTCATAGTCCGGAGAAAAGAGAGTCTTATATTCCATCACTCATGCACTGCTTGCTTTGGTTTGTAATGCTGCTTCATGCAGTTTCTTGGTTTTCAGATGTAACATCCCCGCTGCTATCTATCCCTGTTGATCCTCTCCTACATAATCGATAGATCAGCAGCAATCAGCGGTATGAAAGCGCAAGTCGCACACACAAATTTGTTCATAAAAACACTCGTACATACATTATTTTTTGGACAAAGCAATCTTTTCTTTCTTTTGTGTGTGTGTGTGTTTTCTGCGTTAGTTTCTCTCTAGCAATCTGTGTGCTTTGTATTGTGTATGCAGTGCAGATGTGTGTGTTCCGTTCGTGTTTGCTGACCATGAAATTATTTTTATTGCGTAGCTTTTGTGGCCTGCCATTCCAATGGAAGTTTTTCAGCGCACTTTAAAATTTGTAACAAATTAAATTGGTCGCTGCGCTGGCCTGTGTTTGATAAGGGGCACACACAACTGTTTTGCAGGCAGGGTGCAGCCGGGGGGAGCACGTACGGGCACCACTCGTATTAGTTGCGCCTCTTTTTTATAGTACTAGTGGCTGGGGACAAAGACAAAGACAAAGACCGGCGCCAGTGCCAGCCAGGCGGCCTGTGTTTGCCTTCATTATCTGAATGGACAAGCATTGCGTCAAGCAGTTTGCACTTACCGCCGCCACCGGCCACCACACAGTTTGAGGGGAACTGGAACCAGTTTTGTTTTTAGTTTTCTTCGTTTTGTGCATTGCTTTTTCGGCTTAAAAATACATTTATCTAAAGGCAAATATATGTATAGTTGTGCCGGTTCTTTTTTATTCACTGTTTTTATTGTTTGTGGAACTTATGTGTCATTGCAGAGCCCGCGGGAAATGAAATCATACGAGAGAGAGGCTTCCCCTCTGGGTGCCTTTAGATAAGTCAGCCCAGGAGCAATGCGGATCTCTCTCTCTGTCTCACTGCTGTCACGCCTTTGCCTTTGCTTTGTTATCACCTTAATGATAGGAAACTTTGTGTAAAAAATACTTCGAATCAAATCGATTCCAATCACAAGGCGCCACAAGAAACAGCAACAAAAAAGCGCCACTATAAAAGTTTTCCATTAAAAAGAGATTACAGCGAATACTACTTAAAGGGGGGAACAACGCATGCGACAAGTGAATTCCTTGGCCAATTATTACTCATGCCCCCAAAAGCAATTAAATCCAACTAATAATAGCAATTTGTAAATGGCAAAAGCACACACACACACACACACACAGAAAGACAAACCACAGCCCCTCTCACAGGTCCGTCCCCCCTACAAAATGGCAACAGCAACAGCTCTGGGATTGCGAATCGATTCAACAGAAATGATAAATATAAATGAATATACACAGAGTATAGCAAACACAGATACAGATACAAATACTAGTATCTACTTGTGATCAAACAGAGAAAAGATACAGACAGAAAAGAATGAGAAAAGAGAGAGATAGGGAATGATTGGAATGTTATCAATCGGAGTATTCTAGTATCTAGTATCTAGTATCTGCAATGGAATGGGTCGGTCATCGGGGTACAGTCATCTCGTCACTCATTCAAGACGTGTCTCGCACATCCGCCTAACAGCACACTTTTTCTGCAGATCTGTTGGATCCGATTCACTGATGGGAAGAGATTGCAGACGGAGCAAGTGGCTGAGGCTGAGGCTGTGGCCGTGGCCGTGGCGTCGCCGATAAACCGGATTGACGGAAATTAAGTGAGCAGAGAAGTTATTTAATTTTTTCTTTTCTTCTTCTTTCCTGCGTATTTCCGTTCCATGCACAACTTGTTGACACATCACCATTGCGAGGCAGATGCAGATTAAGTTTTGCATCGGGGATGAGAAATGATAAGGATGATTATGAAGGGATCTAAATAAAACTCAGTAATAAAACGATTCCATCAATAGAAATGTTTTAAAAAGTCTGAGAAGAGATTCTCCCAGAGAAAGAGAGACAAAGCGGCAAATATAACTGGTTAATAACCTGTCCACCACATCCTTCATCTTCCTCCCCCAATACATTCCCATTCTGCTTCCAAAAGAAAAACATATGTACAAAGGACACATAAATTGTGGTCTGGTCTGGTCTGGTTACACCTACACTCCGCCGCCGCCGGAGTTTACATATATCCGCATATCTGTGGAGATTCTCAATGTTTCTTTGGCTTTTTGGCACTTTTTATGAGCCATCAAAGTCAGCACAGCATCCCACCACCGCTGTTCCACTTCCATGTCGTTCCGTACCATCTTTTTTGCTTTGTCTTTGGCGCTGCCACTGCCACTGCCACTGCCATCATCATCAGTATCCACAGCGAGCGCCCTTTGTCTGCGCCTTTTGTCTTTTGCTTTTGCTGCGAATTGTTCTGTGCGATTAATTCCATTAAAAATCATTTTCATAAATCTATGCAACACACCCCCACGCTCCCTCCCTCTGCGCAGAGGCTGCGACACCAGACTGCGACTGTCCAAAAGGCCAAACCGAAAGCAAAAGTAATTAATTTGACAGGTAAACGCCAGCGCATCATTTAAATGGCATAAATAATAACAACGAATCGGGACAGAACCACTCGACAGATGATTCGAAAGACTGCGGCCTCCGTTCTCCTTTCCATTTCTTTTGCATTCGTTCGGGTTGTTGGTGCATGCCACCCACACACTTTAACCGACATTCGGTTGCTGGTGGTGCCAAAAAGAAATGAACGGAGAAAGTGTCATCCAATTTGAATCGAAGAACACTTCTTCATTATCATATTCATACAGTTTTTATTTATTATTGTTGCATTATTGTTGCCTTGTTGCATTTCATCCGTTCAGGTTGGCATTTCCACTACAGCAAGTGCCATATATCCTCCACCTGTTTCGATATTCTTTGAAAACGAATTGTGTGCTTCATGTGACGATCCCCTCTCACTTTCTTAATCTAATCTGTTCCAGCTTTCCCAATTTAAATGGTTAACATGCATAGCTTAAAGCCTCCGCGCAGAACAATTCTGATATTTATAGAAAACTAAGCAAAATCGAAAGTTTCGTCATCAACAACACCCACTCATGTCATACATGTGCACCCCCATATCCCATCATCATCATCAACATCTGGCGGAACGATGACTACATATATCATATATGTATGTATACTATATCGGAGGAGTAGGAATATAGCATGTTGCCAAGTGTGCATTGCCCTTTCCTCCCATCTCCTTGCCGCTCTTGCACATTTCGTTGCGATAATAAACTTTACAAAATATTATTACTGTTAATAGCAGCTGAAATAATTCTCTCATTTCTCTTTTTCCCTGCAGATGTACTGTAGATGTATCTGTGTACAGTATTTTTGTGAGGGGCGGACAGAATGTGTCAAGATAAAATTGGAGCAATATGCAAATGCCGTGACAGATACATTCGCATCTACTATATGCACGGATCGTACTACTATATTTAGGGGGTATGTTCTCGTTTATTTATACGATGACAGTACTTTTACTTTTCTTTTTGCTTAGACGAAATGGAAAGGAGTGCGAGAATACCTCTTGATACTCGCACACTATGGCTTATGCCATGCGTTGCCGGTCACCTTTTGGCTTACTCATCCTGCCTCCGCGTAAAGAACGAGAAGAGAGAGATGTCTCCATCGAGTTCACCTGTCACTTGTTAACACACATTTCACAGAGTAGAAGGCGGCAGCCTGCCACCGAATTGCAAGTGTTTTTGGTTTTCATTTTTGGCGTTAATTAGGAGGCAATGACATGAGGTGGCAAAAACTCGAAATATCATGCGTCACACAGAGAACAGATTACAGTCCATGGCATGGTCAGAGGATCAATGCATTCTTACATCGTTTATAATGAAAGAGGCGGATTAATAAATGGGAGATGGAATATGCGCCAGGTCACACCTTTTCCTCCAAAGAGAAGAGGCAGCAAAATACACACCAAAAACGACTGAGGGACTGACTTCTCATCTATCTGCAATTCCGACAGACTGCTCCCCAAATGCCGAACATTGGCAATTAGCAAGTACAAAATATATACAAATAAAAACAAAACAAAACAAAAAAAAGCCAAAAAGAAGAACAGAAACACCGAAAAGAGTAGAAAGAAGCAGCAGAAAGAACAACCAAAGAGACGCAAATTGTTAATTGGCTATTTAAACATTTCTTTTCGTATTTGTTTTGTGTCTGTGGATTTTGGTTTTTTTGTTGTATTTTTTTTTTTGCACGAATATATTGCAATTTCATTTCGTTTTGTAAATAAATTTTAATCAGCTTTTTTATTGACTTTCCAGCAAGAGACAAAGAAGTGTCCGTCCAGTGCCGTCTCGTCCCACCACCTCAGCGGAAGAGGAGCTCGAATTTGAATTTCGGGGAATATACTGGGGCCTGCCTCGTAGCTCGGGTGCTTGGTTTGAATTTGCTCTTATACGAGGGGTATTTATTCTAGAAAAGTAAATTGCTGTCTGTTGCGGTGCTCAATGGAATAAATAAATGGGATTAGAATATGAAAAAGAGACAGTTTTAGCTCATTTTAGTGGTGCAGATTTAATGCAGTATTTATTTTTGTTTCTCTATTGGGTTTTTTGTATTGCTTTCTCTTGTTTTCTCAAATATCACATGGATGTACACATGGGCAGATTATGTGTACACATGTATGGCAACGTACATAAATAAATTTAACTTCTGTTTTTGTGCTTTGGATCTTTTTTATGGATTTTTCGTGCACGCCAAAATATTTCTTTGTTCATCACGAAAATTGCATGAAATTTTATATATTTTCACACATGCAGAGAGAGGTACAGAGACACGTTTACAAGTGTGCTTTGAATGCAATATGAAATGCAATAAATACGGCCAACAAATGCCTCCCCCGACACATCGACCCGGAGTGGGTTTCCGATGAAATATGAAATATTTCTGAGAATTTTCAACGATTTTGATTCAATTTATTGAGATTGCCTATTTCTTTTCAATGGCTCTTTTATGCCTTATGTTTAACCTTCTATGTACCATGTGCTAACTCTAAGATGTTGAGATATTTTGCTCTCATGCTTTTGTCTCTTTTATCTGCTTATCTGCAGTGAAGTCAACCAAGGGAGGAAATGGCTGAAGGTATAGCAAAAGAAACCGAAACTAAAGCTTCGACTGCAAATAAAACGAATGTCACAACACAGCACATGAGGTGAAGCCAGAGAGAGAGAGAGAGTGAGGGAGCGGAAGAGGAGCGACTCATTCAAGATTTATGGCGATTGACACGGCATAGACAATAAACGATACACGATCAACGGTTATATGGCACTACTACAGTAGAAAGGGGCTGCAACCAGAGCAAGCAGCAGCAAATTTTGCAATGCGGAGAGAGAGAGAGAGAATATACACAGCGAGCCAAGAGATCAGTGGACTTGGCTGTGGGGGGCTCAAAACTCGAAACGGTACATCAAACGGTTGTGTGTGCCGCAACTACACACGAGACAAAAGTAGGGCACAAGTGGAAGATGAAGGGGAAAAAATAAGTGCAAAGAAGAGCCGAGAAAAAGAGAATATGACGGCAGCCAAAGAAGAGGTTACACAAGAGAGAGAGAGAGAGATTACATAGTTATGGTACTACTCCCTGCCCCTCCCAACAGACGCTCACGCTTAGCATAAACCGTATTCCCGCGTTTGTTGCCATGCCATGGACTGAGAGCGACTAACCCAGGGCCCTGACGCGCATACAAATGCAAACTTGACCTTTAGATGGCGGCGTAGGTTGTCGCATAAATTTTCAATTTCAGGCAAAAACTTTCTCATGCAACGCACAAAGAAACCTTCAAAGAGTGGATAGAGAGGGAAAGACATAAAAAGAGGGAGAGAGAGAGGGAGAAAAAAGGAAACCCAAAAGCACCGAAAAGATAATAAATGTTTCAATCTACTCTTATTTGGATTCGAGTTGGAATTTGTCATGCATTAAAAGCCTGCAAAGAGCCTCCCCTGTCCCTGTCCCTGACTCTTGAGGTGTGTACTCCATCCGAAAGTAGGCTAAAAACTCGTTTAGTTAAGAGTCCAAATCGCAAAACAAAATGTCTGTTAGCCTGTGTTTGTGTGTGGTGCGGTGTTGGTTGCGTGTAATAAAATAAATATGCAAAGAGATTCAAATTAATTAATGTCAAACAACTTTTGGCAAACGAACAAATGACGACAACGCACAAAAACGATCAACAGCAATCGAGCAAGCAGAATTCAAATGCAAATCCAATTCGAACTCAAATTGGAATTCGGAATAGAATTAGTCACAAAATTCCACAACGGAAGACCGAATTCGGGTTTAAATTGTCATTAGTTGCCCACAAAATGCACTCTTCAATCGAATTCTAACTGCTAACTCAATGACTGCACAAACTGAAATAAAAACTGAACCTGTTGGTCTTTTTTATGTCATTTCAGTTCTTAAACACATTGCCCAACGAGTTAGTTAATAATCGCGATATTCGTGTGTTAAGGTAAACGCAACTTACCAATAAACCAGTTTCTACATTTGGTATTAGAATGATCTTGGAACCATCCATTAAGTTGTGATCTTTGAGTGTGCCATCCTGTAGTTCTCTGCAAGAAGAAGGAAAATCGAAAAAGAATATGATAAATTGTTACAAAAAAATAGCTGCAGTAAATATCAAATATTTGAAAACGAAAATGAGTAGAATTAGAACAAACGTGGCATTTATCGATTCTTGTTTTTCAATTTTGAAAAACAATAGAAATAAAAACACTTCAAGGTACAGTCACTCACAAAAAAAAAACGACATAAAGCGAACAAGAGCGAGAAGGGACAGGCTGGCGTTGATTTGCTGCTGTCAGCACTCGCGCGCATGCGTAATGAAATTTCAAGTGACATTTGAGACAAGCATCTGAAAAATCGGATAGATCGGCATTGGCGAAGCAATTGATACCCTTGCAGATGGAATTTTGTATACATCCGATGTGGTTGGAATTGAATGTAATTTAAACACATTTTTTTTACATTACACTTTTTATTTGGCAGATACAAGTGATCCGATGCTATTATAGACTGATCAAGAATATATTCATAATTCAAATACCCTTTTAAAGAGTGTAGCTCCAGTCAATAAGAGGTAGAAGGAGAATAAAGAGGATAGTACGGGGGAAAGGGAGGTAGACAATTAAGAAGAAGGCACCAGAGCAGACACATCAAAGTCGATGCGTTTTTTGCCACTTGAACAATAAATAAGGTTGCATTTCAATTATCGAAATACTGATATGTACTTACATACATATCTCTGAGATATCTCGCTTGATAAATGACCAAATGTGGGCTGGAGGTGGAGAGTGGGGGAGTATTGTGAGAAAGATAAATTCAATTCAAGAATGAGAAAATTCATTCTTCGTGTATTTATTTGTCAACTGCATCTTGCACTACACTCCAGTGTTGCCAAAGCTCTCCCACTATCTAAGGTATGCGCAAACACAGGAGCCACACAGGATTGGCCAACTTTAGTATGAATGAGAATGAACTCATCGCCAGTCAGACACGCGGGGGGACCTCCTCCTCACTGCTCTTTAGAACTTTAGCAACAGCTTTTTTTTCCCTGTGTTCTTATTCAATATAATCCCCTCACACACACACCACAGGAGAAATACGACAAATTGTCGAATTGCACTCTGATCCACAGAATAAAATACGAGAAAATATGTGAACAATATACATAAGTACATATATAAAAGACAGGGGAGATGGCAAAGGAGGAAGAGGTGGAGTAGGAGAGTAAACCTAAATGACAATTTATAAGCGCACAAGCAAAAAAATTAAAGGTTCAAGCACTTTACAGGTTTGCCCCTACCGTTCGAGGGTTGTACAAGGGGTGTAGAAGTGGGTGCTGGTGCTTTTACTGCTGTTACTGTTTTACTTTCGGATACCCGTTGATATTTCATTCTTGCTGTTTTTTTTTTCATACTCTTGGCTGGTTTATGAATTTATAATGTGAAGATCCCACAAATTGTGTGAATGCAGAATGATTAAGATTAAGTCATGTCTGTTTAAGAAACTGAGTACTCGAAGTATCCTAGTGTCCATTTACGTGTGCCGCACCGCCAAGCTGTGTTCAACGCTGTTGACACTTTTCACTTCTGCAACAGCATCAGATCAGGTGTTAAACAGCACACAACAACAGTACGGACAATGTCAGCAACAAATAAGCAACACAGCTGCTTGGCTATTTATTTAATTCTGTTTAACTTTATAAGTAAAGTACAAAAAAACCGGCAGTGAGGCGGGGAGTTTCACATTACAAATTACCGACCCCCCCCCCACAAGAATTATTTCCCATTATTTGCACATGGTGACGGGGGCAGGGAACCCTAGTGGAGACAGGGGGATCGGCACGAATTTTTTAATAAACAATTGCGTCTGCGTTTCTACGGGTGACGCAATGCTTAGCTTTTGTCTGGTGTGTGTCTCTGCTGTATGCGTGTGTGCATGTGTGATGATCGGATCGTAACATTGCCAACGTCGACTGAGACATTGGAGGATGGGAGTTTGTTTTGTGCGTTTTTCCTGGGAAATTGAGGAGTTTGTTTTGTACGTTTTTCACATGAAATGTGTAGCCGGAGTAAGACTAGAGAGCTTTTGTTTGTTAACAGAAAAATACATAGGAGAAACCGATAAAGGATTGCATTACGGAAATGGTACCAGTGCGACGTTTTCTTTAGGAACGGATAGTGTTGGCTCGTATTTATTTCCGAGGTTTTTGAAATTGTAACTCTTCTAGATAATCCACATGTTCGAAATTGGAGAAACAATCAACTGCGTTAACCCCCGATGTCAGAGCTCTTTCTGGTCTCTTAACAGTTCGTCTAGGGTTAACGAAAATCGGCCCGCATGGCTTTAAGTCCCAAGCCATGCAAATGTACAAACTATATTTCGTATGAACTTAAGGTAAAATCAATGTTGATGTCGGGTGCATTACATATCGATACTGTGTTGTATGTAGAGAGAGGGAGTTGAATTTGTTTTGGCTAGCAACGCACCAGGAGGCCCAACCGAGCCACAACAGAAAAAGGGGAAGAAAAGGGGCAAGCAATTTCGAACACAAATCGAACAACAACAAAAAAAACACACAAAACAGAGGCAGAGGCACGTCAGTACGGAGTGATGGGGGGTGGGGCATGTAAGGAATTCCTTGGCGACAGGTGGGTACACAAGAGAGAGAGTCTCAGAGAGAGATTCAGAGAAACAGATGGAGATGGAGGTGCAGTGGTCGCAGCTTACATTTTGAAAGACAGAAAGAGAGGTGACTGTACGCAGGGAGCATAAAATGACTTAACTGTAATTACGCTCCATCAAAGAGCAAAATGAGAGAGAGAGAGAGGGAGAGAGTGTGTTGGTCAAACACAAAGGAAAGGTAAAAAAACTACAGAGTGTCACGCAAGGTGTATTTTATAAGAAGGTGGCAGACCAAACCGTATGAGAATGGGCTTGGGCCATTGCATCAGTCTCCGGCTCTAAGCAGAGAGAGAGAGAGAGAAAGAGAGATTGCTTTCCGATGCGGTAACCCCGGCAACTTCAACATAAAACGGTAACCAAGAGAGCGCTATTGAGAGTGAAAGAGAGCAACCAGCCACGAAAAGTTAAAACGAAACGCAACGAAGCAAAGCGAAGAGCGCATTTAATGACTGCATGCATGATTGATGAATTGATAAGATTTCGGGTTAGCGCGCTTGCTTGCTGCCGCTTGATTTGTTGCTGCTTTGCTGCACGGCACCGAAACCCTGTATTTGGGTCAACGAAAGAGGCGTGGCAGCCAATGTTGCACGCAACCTCATGGACACACACACACACAAAAACACAGGAGGGGCTACATATGCCGCAACGTCACGCATAACGTAACGAAGCAGAAGCCGGCCTTAATGGCGTAAGCTTCAAAGCCACCAGTACGCGAAATACAGCAGGCTCTTTCTCTCTCTACATATATAAAAGAAAAGGGCCAACAAATCACGTAAGCGGACACATAACGTTAGAAGCATAATGTTAAAAGTCGTTGCCACGTAAAGGCTGGCAGACAGCCAGCCGAGCTGAGCCAGCCACATGTTGCAATATTGTCAGCAGTCAGCCGCATTATGGCCACAAACCGAAACTCACCACAGTGGAAACAGGGGCAGAGAGAGAGACACATAGACATAAAGAGAGCGAGAGAACGATAGGAGTGGGAGGCAGAGTGTGTAGAGACTGGAGGGAATTTTTTCCTCCCAAATTTCAGCTTTAAATTTGATTTTTCTTTATTTTATAACGTTTTTCTTTTTCTCAAATAATACAGGGAAAAGCTCTGTTAAAGCCTAACAGGAAAAAGGGTGTGTGTGTGTGTGTGTGGATGCGCGCATAGACTTTGTGTCTGTCTGCGAGGGTGTCTGTGTCTGCCTCTGCTGACGGCTCTCTGCTAGCGTCGCTGCTTTTACGCAATAGGCAGACGACGACGCAATCTGACGCGACGCGAGGTTCCGCTGACGCAAAACGAAGGCCAAACGACGAGCCGTCGACGCCGCCACCGCCGCCTCGTGGCCCGGGCCGAGGCCTGGCAACCCAGACAGAAAGATAGACAGACAGTCAGAAAGGGGGGAGGGGGGAGGAATAGGAGATGAAGCCAGAGGCAGAAATTGGGAGTGGGAGTAAGAGTGAGAGGTGAGAAAATACAAGTCGAAAAGGGAGTACAAAATTCAATTGGCTTCAGGGCCAATAAAGGTGGTGGAAGCAGAGGAGATGTAGATGGCTTCTCAAACTGTAACGAACGGTGGAGTTTCCTCAAAAACAGTACAAATTAAAGTGTTCCCCCCGAACAGAGTAAACCGCAGTAGTTTCTGGCCACAAAGCATCGAAGATTCTCTTAGATTTCAGGCTCAAGATAGCTAATGTTTTTTCAAGGGATACTTTTATCATTTTACTGTGCTTAATTTCTTTAATTACATGTTTTATATTAATTCTATGTAGCTTTTAGTTGAAAATCTTTTGCATCGCTGAGAAGACTCTCGAGTTGAGGTTAGGTTTACATTTCTTTTACGTTTTATGTTTTTTGAACATAAACATCCCCTACTCTGCCTCTGCTTATTGCGCTTCTTTACACCTATCAAAGCATTTTTCAGGCAGAAGCCAGAATGTAATTTCAAACCGAAAAGAAAACCCAAGTGAATTGCCCCTTTTTTGTCGTTAAATTCCACCACCTTGTGGCACAGACACATGGCTGGGCACTGTCACTGCCACTGTCGCTCTCCTGCTACTGCTGCGTAAATTATCAGGTTTAGTGCCTAGAAATATGTACCTACAACATGGGAAAGGAGGAAGGATATACATAGATATACAGATGTATATAGTATGTGTATAAGGATTTGCCAGCAATGTATCTCTGCATCTCTTTCTCGCTCTCTCTCTGCTGCGACGGCACAAGGGTAGGCCTATCCTCAAAAGGAACAACAAGAATTGAATGGAGAGGAAAAGAGAGACGAAATTGAAGCTGTGTAACTGAGAAAATTCCACCAGCAGAGCAGTGGAGAAGCAGGAGCAGGAACAGGAGTAGGCAGAGGCAGAGGCACAGCAGTAG